CGGGTCCTCCACCGGGCAGATGTGACCTCACAGGTCCTCCACCGGACATGGAAACGTGACCTCATGAGTCCTCCACCAGGCAGCCATGACGTCACGGGTCCTCCACCGGGCAGACGTGACCCCACCGGTCCTCCACCAGACATGGAAACGTGACCTCATGAGTCCTCCACCAGGCAGCCGTGATGTCACAGGTCTTCCACCAGGCAGGCGTGACCTCACGGGTCCTCCACCGGGCAGGCGTGACCTCACGGGTCCTCCACCGGGCAGGCGTGACCTCACGGGTCTTCCACCGGGCAGGCGTGACCTCATGGGTCCTCCACCGGGCAGGCGTGACCTCATGGGTCCTGGGCCGTGGCAGACAAAAATCCCCCCCCCCCCCCCGCCGCCGCCCCCCCCGCCTATGATTTTCCACAGATGCTTTCACCACGGAGCGCTCGGAAAAGGCAGGCGACGGGCACCCGACGGGGACAACGTGTGGCCTTTGCAAATAAATGCAAATACATTCCTCGTTCAGCAGTCATTTTGGCAATAGTAGTATAGCAAGCAATATGCTTGGATAACCGATTCCCACCGGTGCCGTTGCAAACTCTTCTTTGTCGGGCGACAAAAGGCCATTTGCAGCGTTCTGGAAGAGAGAAACGGGAGACTCAGGAGCGGGTCCCGGTCGGGCCAGCACAGCGGGTCCCCGACTGACGGTTCTAAAGCAGCCGCGGTACAGAAAAAGGGTCAGAAAGCAACCAAGTCCCGGCTCCAGGACTGGAGGCACACAACTTCTATTCTCACTCAACACCTCTGCTTTGGGGTTTTTTTAGCACAATATGCTGCTTTTACACAGAAACTAGATTTTAAAGGGTCATTTTTAGTAAGAAAAATGACATTTTATGTTTTAACGTGGAGGCTAGCTGAAAAGAGAGACAGGAAAACGTCTGACATATCACCAGTTATGCCTGGAGCAGAAGCCCAGGGGAGCAGCATTGTTTTCCCCAACCGACAGCAGATGCCACCGCTTTATCTTCCCTTCCAGGGGTCCGCGGCACGTCCTGGAAGACAGCTGGGGAGCAGCTCAGCGCAGCTCATCTACGCCTTTCCACACCCCCTCTCAACGCTCCTCGTGGGGACAGGCAGTACTAACTCTCCCCAGTGGCTGATTTCCATTTTGCTGAAGTAAGCCGGTTTCCAGGGCTCAGAAAAAGAATTTCTGGCAAAATCGTCTCACGTAACGGTATTGTTCCGAAAACCTAAAGCAACTGCGAAGGGGATCGTTCGCATAACGAGCGTGCCTGGAGCAGCCCGGCTAATCCACAGGCACAAGAAATTACACAAGCAAAACGCTAACCCTGGAGCAACGGAGGCAGATTTGCCCCAGTCCCAAAATGAAGCGCAAGGTCTTACCTGGAAATCATTAATTTTCTTAGTGAGACGATGATGTGTTCTGAGTCACCTACAATAACCCGGAAACAGAAGGGTCAGCTTTAAGCCACCATCTGCAACCCAAACCGCTCCCGCCGCGTTCCCAGAAGGAAGAAAAGGAAACATTCAGGGCACAGAGAGGAGCGCAAGGGCAGAGAACCAGCGGCCGGGAGACGCTGCCACGAGACTGCAGCCTCTGGCTTGGCTGCCGTTCCCGCAACACAAACCACCCTGGGCACCCAGCGGCACCTCTCGCGGTGAGAGCCCCTACACACTCGCTTCTCCTGCAGCCCCGTGCCTCAGCCCGGGACCGGGCTCTGCACCTTCTCGCCCAATCCTGGCAACGCAGCTCAATCCCCCTGCCTTCTTTAGGAGGCCACGTGCTGAGCGGGTGAAGCCTGGCACCTCGGACTGAAACATCCACACCAACCTACTGCATCCCCCTGCTGTGCAGGCAGTGCTTTCTGGAGAGTCACCAAGTCTTTTTTGTTTGTTTGTTTGTTTGTTTGTTTTTTAAGATGTATGTGCAAGGACTGTTGGACTGCTCTGGACTACAAATGATGATTATTAATGGTTTTCAAGCACTGCTCTTAGCCCCAGAATGTATTTTTGACACCTGAACACAATCACCCAGGTACAAGGACTAGAAGACTTATCTATAACCCGCAAATCAGACAAGGCACCCTTTCCTAAGGCAGGCAAGACCCACGGCAATGAAAACTTCAGGAGTTTTGGAACAGAGCGCAAGGTGGGAAGTGTCCTAAAGTCAGAACGAGGAGGGCGAGTTTCCGATGGGTGAACGCAGAACTCCAGAGCACAGAACCATGCACACGAGCAGACCAGGAGGGAGGCGACAGATGAATGAGCAGGGTTGGAGGAGCACAGAATGCACAGGACATGGACAGCGAAAGCCTGGAGGGTGGGAGCAGCACGCAGCAGGCAGGACAGGCACATCGTCCCCATGGACCCAGGCAAGATAGCAGGGACATCTCCCGTAGCTGGCTGCCCAGCCTGCAAATGCCCGTAAGAGGGAACAAGGGACCAGGCACCCAGGATTAACCAGGAGGGACACCAGACTCTTACCTGCGGATGACCTTTCAAATTGGCTGGCGTTTTATAATCCCCCTTTAAAACCTATGGGAAAGAGGAAGTTGGAGTGACCCTTCTGGGGTAGTGGCTCTATGAACACCGGCAAGTCCACCTCATTAACTGCGTCCTGTGTCCCAGAACACCTGAACCAGCAGAAACACCCTGATGGGCATTTGTTCTACGTCGAGGTGCTGTGCTGGGGCAACAGTGGGAGGTTTCCTCCTTCGTGACTGTAAGCAAAGGCAGGGAGCAGCATCCTGCTGGGGCAGGGAACCGACACGAGCAGTTCCCTGGTTCCCCCCTTAGCCTGGGAGAGGAGAGTATTTTGGACACTGCCGTCGTGCCAGTTCTCCAAATTCATCCCAAGAAGTCCAGAAAGGTCCGTGTCAGAGACCCAGAGTCCCTAATCCTGCCCAGGGCAGATGTTCACCCAAAATCACCCGTGTCCTAGAACAGCTCTCAGCAAGCAGAGAGAGCAAGGAGGAGCGGTAAGAGACCAGAGCCCTGGGAGCACCCAGCTCCAGGGAAGCTCTTCCAACCTTCCAGGTCGGTGCTGCTACGGGTCTGCCTGCCCACGGTCTGCAGGTAGCACCATGGGGACCAGTCCCACCCGCAGGCGCTCCCCTGCTCCCACTGGTGTGACAAAGGACACCTCGTCCGAGGGCACCATCACGGGGAGCACGTGCAAAGCTGGGGGGAGGCTGCAGAGTCCAGCCTCAGGCTGGGGAGGAACCGGTCCGCCCCAAAGAAACTCCCTCTGTTTAGTAACTGGTGAGCTCCGCAGCTTCTTCCTTCCAGTTTCAGCTCCGGGGACATGAGTCAATATTCTAAAAAAAATATCCTCTGGTTTTGCCCAAATGCATTACGAGCCTCCACTTGCATTCCCTGTGGGACCGCGGGAGTGGCTGCTGAGCTGCACGCGGACACAGCACAGTCTGCGCGTCCTCCTGGGGCCAGACCGGCGTGTCTGGCGCCTACAGCTGTGCACCTAGATAGCATCAGCACACAGGGGTCCCTCCCAGGCCTGGGTGCGAGAGCCGGGCTGGGTCAGGGAGGGACAGGTCAGCATCCGCCACAACAGAAGAAACAAACACGGCCACAGAAATCATCGGGAGCATCATCGGCCTGAGCCACGCCAGACTCAATCTGCCACACACCTCTGTTTTGAAATCATAGAATCATAGAATGTTTTGGGTTGGAAGGGTCCCCTAGAGGTCATCTAGTCCAACCCCCCCGCAGGAGCAGTAAACCTACCCCGGTTTAGTTTAAAACCATTATCCCTTGTCTTGTCACTGCTGGCCCTACTAAAAAGATTTTCCCCGTCTTTCCTATAGGCCCCCTTTAGGTACTGAAAGGCCGCACTCAGGTCTCCCTGCAGCCTTCTCTTCTCCAGGCTGAACAAGCCCAACTCCCTCAGCCTGTCCTCATAGGAGAGGTGCTCCAGCCTTACATCTCTCGGTGTAACCACGTGTCTGTCATTCCCAGTCTTCCCCAAAGGACGAAGAGCGTTTGTCTCTCCCCTGCTCGTTTCTGATTCAGTTCAGCAGCCCCTGTGGGCGCAGAGACCCACGGCCCCAGGTCAGCGCCCCCGCCCCGCGACCGCCCGGCAGCGACACTCACTCTGTGCGTGTTGTTGACGACTAAGGGGTCGGGGTGGCCGTAGTTGGGAGGGTTGGCGTAGGGGTCGTAGCCGAGCCTGGCGAGCATCGGTGCGATGTGGGCCATATCCTGCAGCACGTCCCCCGGGATGTGCCCGATCCACTTAGATAGCGCCTCCATGTTCACCGGCTTGATAACCTGGTCTGTTGATCTTTCTATCCTGGGGAAAAAACAATAAAGAAGAAAACCAAACCAAGACACTAAAGTTGGCTTTCACACACGTACTGGGCTCAGCCAGAAGAGCCTCCAGCTAAGGTCAGGGATCCACCCTGCACCAGGGTCGGGGTGTTACCAGGACACCTCTGCTTATTACAGGAAAATAACAAGAGATGCGTAGTCTGTAACACAGATGCACCACACAACCCCACTGAATATTCAAAAACTTACCTGTTCGGGCAACCTCGGCAAAATTTATTCTGAGCAAATAGTGCTGAAAGCCCTGGGGAAATCACTGCTTCGGCCATCAGAGGCGCCTGCATCTCTCTATCCTACACCACAGCCACCATCCTGGTCCGCCTGGGGTACGGGCGCTGGGATTCCCGCTCGACTCCAGCCAAAGGAAACCGCAGCCTGGGCGGCACAGGCGACGCGGCGTCCTAAGGGGCATGAATGCGCACAGCGGCCGGGGGTCCCCAGCCTCCCGAGAGCTGTCCCAGCTACCGACTGCTAAGGCACCCGCAGTGCCGCCTACGGAGGGGGGCTCGTGGCGGAGGGGAGCGGAGCCCGGCCGCACACCCCCATCCGTCCCGGAGAAAGGGAGCTGCTGCGTGCCCACAGCCCTCACCACTCCAGCAGTTTATACAGAGACCACTTGTACGGTTCCCTTACACCGCTGATTAATGGTTGCTAAGCTGGACTTAAGCCTCCATTTAGGAACTAAAGAGCATTAGAAGAGGAGAAGAAGGCGGGAGGAGGCGAGCACCCCCCGGCACCCAGAGAGGGACAACCAGCAAGGAGGGAGCGCCGGGGCGTGTCTCCCCGGAGCAGGTATTTCTTTTATTCTGCAATACCAGCAGCAAACCTGGCAAGAATTGCTGCTCGCCACTGAAAGGCATTCATTAGCAACAAAACTGATTGCAGGAAGGAGGCATTTGAGGACGGGTAGAGAATAGAGACATTAAAGAGCTCCCGTTTCAGAGCAAGCAGTTCTTTTCAAATTAAGAGACCAAAATCCTTTCTGCACTGCCGAGACAGATGAATAAAGCAAATCCTGGCCTGACGGGCGGCTCTGCTGGGTACAACAGGGCGCTGCTATTCAAGCCGTCCTCTACTCAGAAGAAACACAAAACCTACTGCAGCCAAGCTGGACGTGCTGGCGCTTCTGCCCCCCAGAAAGCGCGTCCCAACACCAGCAACGCGTCCTCGCGCCCAGTTTGAGCCTTGACCTGCTTCGTGTAAGGAAAATGCTTCTCGAAAAGGCAAAGCAGGCGCCGAGACACTCACTTGGAAAGCGACACCCCGCCGGGCTTCCCAATCAGCTCCTCGTGGTGCAGCACCGTGTCGCTCCAGGAGATGTCCAGGAACTTCATGATGGCATGCATGGACTGCTCGGGGTGCAGCACCAGCTGCTCGTAGTAGACGGGCAGGCAGCGGGACCGCCCGATCTCCAAGCACTGCGAGTACATCACCTCGATGGCTTTGTTCCACTTGGTCAGGCAGTCTCGGTAGCTGTTCAGGTCGAAGCCCGCGATCGTCACCTTACGCGTGATCATGGAGTGGACCGAAGCCCGGCCGTCTCGAACCATCAGGAGGAATTTGGAATTGGGGAACAGCCTGGACAGGTAGACAGAGGACTTCAGCGTGAAGGGGTCCTTGTTACACAGATACCTGGCTGGCTCACCATGCTTGGCGATCACTTCCAGTATAAAGGCCTGCATGGCGGCGTCCAAAACTTGGTCCGTCACCCCTGCTTCGTCCAGGCGCATCTTCTCTCGCCCCGATTTGGACCAGGCCTGCCGCATCGCCAGCACGCGGGGGATGATGCGGGTCTCCTCTCCGCAGCGTACCTCGGGGTGGGCATCGAGCATGGCCCTCATCAGCGTCGTGCCGCTCCGTGGGACCCCGCCAATGAATATCAGGGGCATCTCCTTGCTGTAACGGTACTCGACGTGGTTGGAGTCCATCATGACCAGCTCCTCGTTCTCAGGTCTCATCAGCCTGTGCCTCCTCTCGCTCAGGACCTGCTGGCACTCCAGGACCTGCTGGCCGAGGTGCAGAGTCACCATCAGGGCAACCACCGAGCCCACCACCAGCAACACCCTCCTCATGGTGACCCGCATCCTGTCCTCCTCCACACAGGCCGGTGACCACGCTTCAGCTTTCAGCTAGCAAGTGTCCAACCCAACAGGCATCTGCAAGGGAAAGGCAGCACGGTCAGAGGAGCAGGAGCCGCGATCCCAGCGGCACCTCCACGCGGATGCTGACACCATCCCAGGCTTTCATCATCCCTTTCGCTTATCAGCAACTCCCAGGCTAGGTGCCTTCCACCCAGGCAGTAATTAAAGTCTGCCTCAGAGCACACCCAAAGCGATTATTTCTGGACTGTTTGCATACCCAGAATCACAGGTTTACAGCTGAAGCAAAGCTCCAGGGACATTTCGGAAAGGAGGGGCCACGTCAGTCCTTAAAAAAAAAAAAAAAAAAAAAAAAATCTTTACTGAGAGACTGTTCCACCCCAGATGAAGCCCAAACCCTCCCTGCAATTCTCCTTCCTCCCAAAACCCAGCTCAGTCTTCTCACTTCCCGCAGCCACCTGCCTCCTTCCTACATTTTCTTTGGCTTCAACGTGTGGTCGCAGGGGAGGGGGGGAAATTCGAAATGAGAGAAAAACAAAAGCATCTCGTGCAAATTTTAAGGGTCTGAGTCAGGAGAAGCAGCTACCCGCTAGAACGAAACACGACGAGAAATTAAACCACGGGAAGGCCAAGAGCAACGCAGAGAGTCAGCGTTGAACGCCCTCCCTCCGCAGACTGACCTTGCGTAAGAATCCTTGAAGACTTGACCTGGCGTTAGGGCGTTTTGGGTTCCCTGCGTCCCGTAGGGTACCCAGTGGGAAGCCTGGCCGTTCCTGCAAGCCTCCCGCTCTGCTGCCTACCCGGCAGGGACTCCTGCGAGCGCTGGCACCGCTCCCCACGCCCTCCCCCCTTCTGCTCCATTTGCAAGCACAGGTTTTGCAATCCTCCCCTGGGCTCACCCAGGGATTTCAAGTTCTTTGTGATGATGTGGCTGGGCCGGGAGCTGAATGGAGTGGAAGGAACGGGACGTCCACGCGTTTTGTTTCGCTGACACTCCAAAGAACTGCTTCAGAAAAACGTTCCCTCCCCTCGACTCTCTCCGCCAAAGAGCACATTC